GGCTCCGGGGAACCCCGGGGTGGGGGGGCTTTCGGGGGGGACCAACGGCTCTCTGTGCCTCTTCCCCGCAGGAGAGAGCTGCGAGGACAAGAGCCCGCCCGGGCCGGCCTCCAAGCGTGTGCGCACAGCCTACACCAGCGCGCAGCTGGTGGAGCTGGAGAAGGAGTTCCACTTCAACCGCTACCTGTGCCGGCCGCGCCGGGTGGAGATGGCCAACCTGCTGAACCTGACGGAGCGGCAGATCAAGATCTGGTTCCAGAACCGCCGGATGAAGTACAAAAAGGACCAGAAAGCCAAAGGCATCATGCACTCCCCCGTCGGACAGTCCCCGGACCGCAGCCCCCCCCTGAGCGGCCCAAACCACGTCGGCTACTCCAGCCAGCTCCCCAGCGTCAACAGCCTCGGCTACGACGCGCCCTCGCCCACCTCCTTCGCCAAGCCCCAGCAGAGCATGTACGGGCTGGCCGCCTACACGGCGCCGCTCAGCAGCTGCCTGCCGCAACAGAAGCGCTACGCGGGCGCGGAGTACGACCCCCACCCCATGCAGAGCGGCGGCGGCGGCTTCGCCAACCCCAGCCTGCAGGGCAGCCCGGTCTACGTGGGGGGCAACTTCGTGGACTCGATGCCGGCCTCGGGCCCCATGTTCAACCTGGGGCACCTGCAGCACCCCTCCTCCGCCAGCGTGGACTACAGCTGCGCCGCCCAGATCCCCGGCGGCCACCACCACGGACCTTGCGACCCCCACCCCACCTACACGGACCTCTCCTCCCACCACACCTCTCAGGGACGGATGCAGGAGGCGCCCAAGCTCACGCATCTGTAGCGGGGCGGCGGCCGGCGGGGCCCGCTCCCCTCTCCATTACCTCACTTTTCTGACGGGACAGTGTTACTTTGCTCTCGAGTGCCAACAGTGTTAGTGGATTTGTCTCCCCTAGCAGCCCCCCTCTTTCTTTCTTCCGCAGCCCCGGGTAGGTCCGCGAGCGGGAGCCTTCCTCTTAGAGCTGTGTTAAGCATGACAGTGCAATATCCCGCAGACCGAGGGACTGATAAGCTGGTAATGATGTACTTGAAGGTAAGTCTTAGAGATGCCGTAGTGTTAGCAGCGCGTCATGCTGAGGTGTGTTAGACCAGCCGTGGGCGGTGGGAACTCGCCCGCGCGTGAGCTTGTTTCAGAGAAGTTAATTTATGAATTCTTCCGTGACGTAAGGATCGCATCGGACTAAATGATATGTATTTATTATTTTAAGCGAGACATTTTTGTATCACTGATTATTTATCCTCGTCTTAATGTATTTATGTGGGTATTTGTAGAGTTTCTTCACCGATGCTTCGGGAGAGCGATTCAGGTCCGTGGTGACTTACATTTCACCTATTTAGTATATTCGGTCTGAGCTAGTTGAGAGAGTAGTCTTGAACAGTTGTAACAGTGGCTGATGTTTGTAGTTTATGTAAGGATTAATTAAGACAGCAAGTCGTAAGTCATTAATAGAGTAAAACAAACTGTGGCATCGCACAGAGAGCCGTTACACTTAAAAAAAAAATCGAAAGTATTTTTAAAGTATTTATTTCTAAGCGGCTGGCCCCACGCGAGCACCTCGGTGGCTTGGCTGGCAGCTGGCTCGGCCGGGTGAAGCCACCCGTTCGTTGGAAGCGCCACCACTTTGAGGAGCCGATCCACAAAGCGGGGCGCTTGGCCATCTTGTTCGAGATCAAATCCTGCATACAAAAACCTCGGTGAGGTTAACGGTTATTTATTGACTGGGTATCTATCGCACATATTATTATTTCGGTGGGCTATTTTATTTTTTTTTTTTTTTTTTTTTTTTTTTTTTTTTAATTACACTCTGGCTATCTGAAATAGGAAAGAAATTAGAAGCTTAGAACGCAAAAAAATTAGAAACCCTCTGATAGTGCTAATTTCATTAGGGTCTCCATAGCAATCTGCGCAGCAGCTGCCGCCTCCTTTGTTATTTATACTGTTGTCTTTATACTAACCATAAATCAATTTTTTAGACATCTTTGGAAGCCCGAGCTTTTCCTCGTTTTTCATAAAAATAAACTTTGAAAGAAAATTGACAATCAGATATAGACAGCCGAAGGTGGGGTGCGGGCAGCAGCCGGGTGGTACTGCCGTGCTCCCCCGGTACCCGCCGAGGACGGCCCGTCCCCTCTGGCCGAGGCAGAGGGACACCCCCGCCTCTCTCTGCCAAGAACGGGACAGCTAACACGGGGAAGAAAAAAAAAAAAAAAAAAAAAAGAGAGAAAAAGAAAGGAGAAAAAAAAAGGAACGATGCTCTGAACATTCGTGTTTCCTCCTCTTTAGTTACACGGCTGTATTGAATCCCTCGCTGGATTTACAGAGATACTTCTTTTGTAAACGTTGTCATTAAAGTCTCTTCCTGACGGTACATGTCGCTCCGAGAAGGCTATTCTTATCTCTTTCTAAAAGTGTCGAGTTAAAGATTAATCCGAACTTCTGTTTTCCCCACGAAACCGTCTGACACCACTTCCCAGTTTGACAAACACTGCAGCTACCACTCCATCCTCTAATGACAGGACCTGGCATTCCTATTGTGAAAAATATTTTCATTCCTCCAATTCTGGTCAACACAGACAAGTTTTCTTTCTTTCTTTTCTCCCTTTCTTTCTTCTCACTGCTTTCTTCCTCGCCTTATGGTATTTGTGTTTGGCTGGACAGTAACGATTCAAAATATTACTTGGGGTTTTCTTTTCCCCTCTGAGTGATTTTAACAATGTCATGCTACATTGAGAACTGTATATTTTGTTAAATTTCACTTTTACCCAAGCAAATTTGGACATATGTGTTGTAGATCTGTAAACAAAACAGAACAGAATAAACTACTTTGTTCAGAGACATATTTTAAACATTTTGAGCCCTAAAATTGCTTTCTATGGAAGTTTTCACACAAATTGTTTCTTAGAAGCTCCATCCAGGAGTAAACAAAACATACAAAGAGCACAAAAAGTAAGACTAAACACCACTTGTGAATTACACTTCTATAATATTCCATAAATATATATGTTTGTATCTCTAAAACTTTATGTAATCAATGTACCCACTACTGAAATTGTCCATGTAGGGTTTTTTGTGTGTTATTGAAAACACAACGTATTTTGCATTACCTGCTTCTATCTGCGAAACGGCAAGGCACCACCATTTCTGCAGGGGCAGCCCTGCTATAACCCCATGCGCTTTTCCCAAGTCTTTCCCACCTTTGTGTTCTGTAGGCTGTTCTTCAGTGTCTGCTCTGACTTACACTATTAGTCCTTCATTAAACCTGTTCAGAAAGAAGAGGCTGTTTATAGGTAGCCCTTCCCCAGATCTGAGGAAGAAGGGAGTTTCAGAGGAACCCTGACCACAAACATGGTGCTACTGAGGCACACTGCCTTGAATTACTTTCATATTGCAGAAAGATGGAGTTTGCAGACTCGTTTTCCAGTGGGGGAGGAGGAGGAGCATGTGTGAGGGGGAATCTTCTTGTAAATAAATTCACTTTCCTCTCCGTGACTCTGGCAGAGGTGTCTCGTTTGTAATGCGATAGAAGTCCGTGATGATAACCTAATTATTAGAAGTAATGTTACTTTAGCGAGATCGCTGGCATTTTTACAATGTTTGTACAAGCATCAGCAATCTAGAGGAGAGAGGCACTTTGGCACAAGCCAGACTTTTTCTTGGCCCATCGTTTAAAACCCATAAATTATAAACAACCCCCTTTCACACTCAGTAGGAACTCAGCTCCCTTGCAACAGCATCTGATGTGCTGAACTCCGGTCACTTATTTAAAACACAACTTGTCAGCCAAGGCCAGGCCTGGGGCTGATCCCAGCCTTGGCTTTCTTTTCAAATAAGAGCCATTGCACCCCTTTCCTTCCTTCCCTGCTCCCTCCATCTGCTCCAGACCCGTAATAGGGTCACTGAGTCAGGTCCTTAAAATGCTGGCAGCGCCGCAGCGGTGTTTGGGCTAGGGAGATGCTGACAGCACCGGTTGAGAGGTGTCACGGGTGCATTTGAGCTTCACTGAGGCCATGCATGTTCTCCTGTTCAGACCAGTGGGTTTTGGGGTCTCCACTTGTTGGGGTCTCCCCACCATTTAATGGGGCTGCATCAGTTTCCCCGCTGCAAATAGGAGATGAGGCTTTGTCTTAGCTCTGTGCAGTCAGTGCAGGGCTGAGCTGCCACTTTGCAATCTGTTTCTTTTGAGGGTGGGTCCCATCCATGTCCCTCTGTCTAGGGCCTGGTGAGCAGCACTGGGGGAGGGGGACCTAGGCAGGCACAGCCAGGGGCTCCCCAGGATGCCACTGTTTTGCAGGTGCCACTTGTGTGGGGCTGGGAAAACAAAGCCAAATGCCTCCTGCTCCATTAGCAAGTGCTTCCTGGGCAGAGTGCTGCAGCCTCCCAGCCCTGGTCCCTGGGCAGGCTGAGGAGGGACTCTGGGCCACCCCACATGGCTGGCACCATGGGACCACACCTGGGTCATCCGGGGCCGCAGGCAACCTTGTCCATGGATGATGAGGAGGCAGCTGGCTGCACACCCAGGAGGCAAGGACAGGTAGGAGGCTGGCTAAGAAAGGAGGCCATCATCACCAACTAGAAGTCCCCTGACTTTCTTGGGGACCAGCTGGACCACTGGAGCTCCATGGCAAGAAGTCTGAAGGCAGGATCCACCACTGGGGTTTCTGCACCACTCCAGCCCCATGGGAGGCTCCAGGAAACATCCTGCAGGGAGGCCCAGGCACAGAAGGGACTACTTGGCTAGGGAAAAAAGAGGGTAAAGGGGATGGGGCTGCTGGGCTACCTCTGGGAAGGTACCTTGCTGACAGCTGTCGGCCGGGAGGGAGGGAAAGAGCTGCAGGTCATGATGCCATCCTTCTACGTGCCAGCCTGACACGTGTGCCCAGTGGCCGCACACAATGGCAGCCTGGTGAAGGCGCAGTGTGCTGCATGGCGGAGGGGCCCAGGCGTCCGGCACTGCTGCCTCAGACCTGCCTGGAAACAAAAGCTGGAGCCAGACGGGCAGCACAAAGGGGCTGGTGCTGCCGGGGCAATTAGGGCTGCAGTGGTTGGTTGGGCACCACGTGATGCTATATATTGATGAACTGGCTACCTCTGTTTTTAAAAGGCGTAAGAGGGGCTGGACCAGAGCTCTGTTGGCTGCAGCCGCTTTCCAGGGACTGAGCAGCAGGTTAATCCCTGAATGGGTGACAGCTCTCTGTTCCCATATGAGCAGCAGCAGTGGGTATGCTATGGTCCTTGCTGGGAGTGAGCCTGGCGGGGGAGGGAGGAGTCTGGCTCTATTAAGGGTCATCAATCACATGATGAGCACTTTTCACTCGACAGGGGTTCCTCCTACTTCTGCTTGGGTCTGAGCCAGCTGGGGCTCGACCTGGCCAGCAAGAGGCAGAGCCCAGTCCTGGAGCCGAGAGCCATGGAGTAACATGGCAGGATGGCACTGAGCCCCTTCGGTTGCAAAGGCTGGTACGCAAATGGGGACACAGTGAGGTGTCTGTGCCTGCACATCCTTTGTAGATGCTGCTCTGGAGCAGAGATGGGCCTTTGTCTCCATCTTCAGAGCTCAGGGTCCTGGAGCTCCCTGTGAGATGAACCCCAGAAAGGCTCAGCTGCAGTGACCATAAGCACAAAGCTGAATGAAATTATCACGGGATCTGTACTAGGCAGGATGGAGGTCTTCCAGGGAAAAATACTCCTGAATGTATAATTTGAACACTAGAGCTAATTTTTTTACTTATTTTCTGATGTGCCAGTTTTCTTGAAACAGCAGTTTGGGGAGAGGATAGACATCCCCATGTTGAGTGAGGTGTATAACCTTGATCTTTCCTCCAAGGAACCTGGGCCATCTTTTAGGATCTTTGGGAGCAAGAAGGGCTAGGCAAGGCAGAAGTCTTGGCTGCAAAACCTTTAACATCTCTGTTT